CTTAGCCTCGCTAATGGACGCCTCCGCTCGATATCATCGCCGGCCGTTCGTTATCTAAACGTGAATAATTATCTTCCGCGACGCCAGTAGATCACGGGAGCGATATATTTCTTTTACGATGGTGCGTGTATATATATATATATATATATATGTGTGTGTATGTGTGTGTATGTATGTATGTATTTATGTATAAAACTTTATACCAACAGCAATGATGTGCATTGGTCAGCGTATATGTCTAAATTTAGCTATAGCTTATGTAGTTATAGGACTACAGTTTTACGTAAACTTTCATTAGTTTAGTGACTTTTAGTGACGTTCCATTACAATTCACATTACGATTTAAATAAGGTAACTCAAATTTTCACTGAAAAAAACGGTGCATATTAATTTTGAGCTTTGTATACATTTTAATTTATACAAATTATTTTTAATGAAAAATTCAATATAAATATACCGTACTTTACTAGGCTTGCTTATACCTTTGTTTTTTACTGTATTTTTTATTAATTATAAACGGTATTTTAGATTGTATATTATCTATTATGTATACATATGAATACTTTACTTAAATGAAAGATTCATATGTACTTCAAACGAAGGAAGGTTCTTGTTTTTTATTTTTATACATTTACATTTTTATAAAATGTAGAATATTAATATTAATATTTCTAAGAATTTGGGAGAATGTTTTGTTCTTATAGTTTATATTCTTGCCTAATGCTTTATTTTGTTATTACAGATTACAGAAAGTATTTATCATCATAAATATAAAATATGAATAGTATTTCTTTTTATTTAAGATATAGTCCTCTATATATATAGAATCGACTATTTCTCTTTAGATTTTATTTAAATGAAGTGACATTTTTTATACTTTATCGTAAGGAACAAAGGATAATCATAGCCTATTTGTGTAAGAAATTTTATAATACTGATCGCCTGCTCTATGCGTTACACATGATAAATGACGAGTTGTCTGTGTGCCACGAAATATATATTGGTTCATTACATCTCGTACTCTTTCATAATATAAGATAATATTTTTTAGATACGCTCAAGATGATGCTATAATTTTATATAATTCGTAATGGTTGCTAGTGAAATAATTACTTGTTTTCCTTTACATATATACATATTGCGAAACAGGTGTCTCAAGATTCTGTGAATAACATTTTAATAAGTTCTATATCATTTTTCAATTTCTATCTTTTTCTTTATCGCGTATATAAGCAAAAAGATGTTTATTTTATATTCTGTCTAACATTCCATGCTTATAGTGACTAACATATTGTGTACGTCATATAAATATTTGTATTATTTTTGTTATTTATTTCTGTTTTTTAAGAATATACTTTTACGTTTTAAGTCTGCTTGGAGAACACATATGTGTTATGTAATAGCAATATAATTCGAAGTCAGTAAAAAAAAGATTTTTTTCTCCGATTTCGAGAATACAGATATTGCTTTATTAATTTTATAAAACGATTTACTACATTTGCATGAATAAATAATCATACAAATTATCATATAAAATAAGCTTTACAATTGATGTACAGATCTTCAAGCAGCGTACAAATATAGTTCGTAAGTTTATACTTTAGCATTTTTGTTGTTTAGTTTATTGAAAATAGTATATTGCATATTTAATATGTAATAGTTACCCAGCTTATAACAATTAATTATATTTTTATTGCATTTGCAATTTTTATATCATGTGACATCGCAAATTTATGTGAATTTATTTGATGTTTACCTGCAACTATCATGATTTAATATGTACACATTACACACAGTAAATTCTATTTACATTTATAAAAATATTCTTAAATAGCATATATGAAAGTAATGGAAATGTGTAGCCTTATATCGCTGAACAGTTCTATAAAAATAATATTGTGATTCTCAAGTCTGTTCTTTATTGCATACATGCATCATTTTATATATTACTACATAAAAATTTTAGTCATTTACAGTTATAAGTTATTTACGTCCTGTAATAATTCAATTTAAAACAATTATTAATACAATAATAATTATTTGGAGATTGTTAAAGAGAATTAAATAAGCGGTAATGCAATTGCTTTATTATTGGCATGAGAGCGTGTTAAATGGATTTCCTTATTTTTAATTACATTATTCCAAAATGGTCTCGGTGTTATATGATTATCCTTGGTACTTCTGATGCCAGATGCTAATATTACATATTACAAAATATCTTATTAATATAACAATGGAAATAATAATCTTTTTTCTTTTTTTTTTTACCTGACTTCCAAGGTGGGAACACATGTAGCTGACTTTCTACCGAGAGAGATTCAGGGTTAATTGTTATAGATAAATGTGGTCCATGCTGAAAAATTGCTCTCGAAATAGATTTTTTGAAGGCTGGTGGCAAGTTCAGAGAATCTATAATAAATTTTCTGTCTGTAACTGTGTTTCTATCTAAAGGAAAAAATCATTATTGGCATACTTGTTATATCATCTCCTAATGGGATTTTAGTTGCCTTTTTTATTCGTTGATTGTATTTCTCTATTTTAAATTTTTTCATAAAATTTCGACAAATGTCAGTTACAATTTTTCCGTCGAGATTAGCTGTATATGAAATAAAATTATAATTGAGTAATAAACGTGAATAAGTGAACAAATATTGAATGTGTAACTTTACCTAGCGAAACACTGTTTGCAATCAGATTTTCCTTATATCTGTAAGATGTTGTAACAGGATTACCTTGTAAAGACAAATCTTTTAAAGAAATTAATGTACTTATTGTCGCAGTTAAATCGTCTACATTATTGATCAAATTATTTTTTGCATTCAACGTATGTAATTCTTGAAATCTTATTAGATTTCTCAAGGATGTTATTTTGTTTTCAGAAATATTAAGAACTTTTAGACACATCTAAAAGAGAAAATGTTTATAAAAAACAAATCTCAATGATTAATCTATATAATGAAAATCTTTGAGATTCAAAGATACTCTTACAGATAAGATAAAAGCGCTGCGTGGCTCAAAGCATAATGATTCACCGAGTGGTATTTTCTGACTCTCGATATGCAATTCTTGTAATTTCTTTGCATTTTCTAATCCTTCAACTACAATAATATTATTGTGTCCTAGATAAAGCTTTTGAAGATTCTCTAGGGATTCTAAATTTTCCATTTTCGTTATGGTATTATGTTGTAGATACAGATGTGTCAAATTATATGCAAAATGTAAATTCTTTATTTTTGATATGTTATTATTCTGAAGATATAAGACTTTTAAGCTTCTGTAAGTAGTGATGTTGCCCTACATAAAACATGAAATTTTATATGCATTGAAAATAAATTTTATAATTTATTAAATTGATATAACTTACAATACTGCTGATAAACATGTCATTCATATATAAGTGAGTCAACTTCCACAATTCATCTTTTTTTATTGTTTTACTGAGTGATTTACTAGTTAATATTTGAGAACACTTTCTTTCGACGATATCTGTTGTTAATTTCACCATGCTTGCAAGAGAAATATAAATTATGAAAGTACAATAAGCTGTCTGTAAAGATGGTCGCAGAATTTCATTGATCAAACACAGGACGTAAACATCACATAACGACGATATGACATATCAAATAAATCAAGTTTTGCACTTTCAAAAGTGCTGCGATTTTATGTATACGAACTAAAAGTAAATTTATTTCTTATATGTTAATAACTTATATGTTATAAACATAATATTACAATTCGATTTAACAAATAGGTTAATCTTCTAGCTAATCTAAGCGAAAAAATTTTTGTTCGTTTTTTAACCCTTACGACGATATAGATTTTTGCACCATGGCGAGACTCTAAACATAAAAATAATAAATATTAGTATACGTTTTGTATAAATAAAAATGTATTACAACTTACATGTGTAATTGTCAGCACTCCTTTTGAAGACAAATGATTTAAATCTTTTATGAGTTTTTCGATTTGATACTCTTGTTTAATAGTCTAAAAGAAAAATTAATGTTATTATCTTCTCTCTTTCTTTCATACTATATTTTAAAACATTGACTTAATTACCTCTAAAACAAACTTATTTTCGATATCATTTAAAAATGGTAAAAGTGCGGCAGCTAAGTGCGCCTGTTTACTTTGAAAACAATTTCTCACGATTACGGTGAAGTCTAATTCGTGTGCCACAGGACACGAATATAGCAGACAAATCGCTTCTATGCAATTATTAATTTGCTCCAGATTTGGATTTATGTCCATCTCGCTAAATGGTTCGGAGATAATCAATTGCCATCCCATTTTATAACCATTACAATTCACAATGCCATTTTTATTTCGTAATTGTAATAAAACTTTTTTTAAGTCGCTTACCTAAAAAATACATATTTAGTATAATTTTCGAAGCAAAAGAATATATCTAACGAATTATAATCGTTACAACCATTCGTAATTTTGTCATCTGAGTTAAAGTATTATCCCAAAGTAGAATATCATTTATTTCAAACTCGATGCAAATCTGCGCTATAACAGAGAGAGCATAGGGTAAGTGACGCTGACTTTTCCATAAGATCTGAACAAGCTCCCGTTTACAACACGTTTCAAATGAATCAATACTATAACATAATCCTAATGATTCTAATTTCCCAATGTACTGTAACGATTTCATATATTTTCTGAAATATTAAAATATTAACGTTTTATTGCAAGATAAATCTATATTCTCTCATAGTTCATTATAATCTGTTTTGTGTTTACCTAAAGGTACATATATCTTGCTTGATTAATTCCTCCAACGTAGAAGTATCTACGACAGTTTGCAATATCTGAAATACTCGATATCGTACGTTACAATTATATTCAGTATCGCCGTGACGATCGCCAAAGCCTATGTTTATGAGAAATTGTGTAAACAAATCCATATCTCCATATTCTAGCATGTAACATATCCTACAAGTATATTTTAAGATCAATTATTGATCTAGAAATTGACAATATGAAAAAAAGGTATACTGATAATATTACTTAAGTAAATTATCTTCACAATCTGTATTCTGATCAGATTCTTTTGGCGCTAGAAACGTCTCTGTAAAGCTTTGAGACAATTCAGTGTATCTGGTATTGGATTGTAGCCATTCTTCCAATAAATCCATACGCAATTTTATCATATTCAACGAAAACAATTTACCCAGCTCGTTAACAGCAGCATTAATATCGGGTCTATATTTGGTTGCGGTTCGATATCGTAATGGTATACTTTTGTCATTATACAATGCGTATACTAGCTTACTCGGATGATCGATTAGAGCAAGATATTCATCCTTCTCCAATCCGTACGTACGTAGAATATGTTCAGACGTAAATGTTAAATATTTGGATTTAATTTTCTGAAAGCAGACGCCACATAAGAGTCAATTTACCACACACATAGAAGTCAATTTACTTTTTCATATAACACATAAAGACACGATGATTACAGAGATTACCGTACTTCTAACTCCTTTCCTTCTTTGAACTTAATAGAATTTTGTGCCGCTAGCTGAGCATACTCGTAACATTCTTTTGCGGCAGCAACGCGATCAGCACCCGGAGGTGTATAATTTACGATATGATATAATGCTGCAGTACCATAATAAAATCCATCTGAGTCTGTCAGCCGTTGTATACATTTTTTGCTATCTTTCAGCAATGTGGAGTTTTTTGAATAAAGCGACCATGTAGTATTTTTCGATTCAATAGAATTATTTGCCCATTCTTTTGCCATTTCACCCTTAATAGCTAATGAGCATATGAGATGTGCTTCTAAATTAAGTACAGGTGCAATGTCAAGCCATTTATCATAGGTTTTTAAATTTAACTCAGGAGCTACAGTAAGAGAATTAATAAAAATTAAGTTAAATAATCACTTAAGTACTAATTAAGAATTTATTTCTAAAATATATTTACTAATAATTTTCCAAATATCGACTTTAAGCAAGAATGGAAGTCTCCATTGTGCTATCGGCGGCAACGTACTATGTCCAGGATTAAGCTGTACCCATTCATCATGTTCCATTGATGTAGGAGGCCTAACATATATATGATTAAACTTAAAATTAATATATGGAAAATTATTATAACTTACCCACTCCGAGTGTAATTTTGCAAAAAACAGAGATAATTCCTCTTTTCTATATTTTTATCTCCTATGAGATCCATTAATATAATGAATACTTCATAATGGTAAAACGTGATCTATATGTATAAATTTAAATATAAAATTTTTATCATAAGAAACTATACTATCAAATGTTTTTATAACTTACGTGTTGCCATAATGTAGACATACATTGCTTCAACATAGATATATCTTCCATTTGCGCAACGACTGCATTACATTTTTTTCTTAATTCATCGACTTCCTCTTTACAAATAAGTAACTCTATAAAATGTCATTCAATTATTAAATTTGCATTCGACATTATGCAAAAATAATGTATACATACATAAAAATATGTATATAAATGTTAAATTGTCAAATTTCCTCTTGTCACAAATACTTATTTACCTTTATTTACGCTTGTATTCGAAATGATTATCGTTGGATTCCATGTTTTTAATAATACTTGTAAATAATGCAAAAGGCAATCATTGAAATTAAATCCAAAGCTACAACAGTAATCCTTTAGTAAGGGAATCATGTTCTCTTTATTACTGCTTATGATCTGTTGTAAAATTTCTCTTTTGCTCGAAGCACTATTTATTAAAACCTCTAAAAATATTCACGTGTTAAAATATGTACCTACATTAATGTATTCAACAAGATTTGCATATAATATAAAAATAAAATCGATCATAACGAATATGTGTGTGTGTGTATGAGCATACCTTTAGAATTTATCGAGTAATTTGACAATCGTTGTGCCCAAATATGCAGTAGCTTGTAATTCTCAAACGTCTGTATCAATGATCGATTTTGCCCCAAGCGCGAATATTCATATCCTAAACTTGAAAATGTACAATGTCGAACATGATCGATCTGAAATCTACAAATTTTCATCTTTACACATTATTATATTAATTTTCTCAAAAAATAGATTAATTTTCTTACGATGCAGAAACTGTGGAAAGCCAACTGCACGCTTCTTGTTCAGATAACATAAAGAGAGCCGACAGTCCCAAATGCAAATCAAACGATCGTCCAGTGCACAACTTTCTCAATAAATTTATTAGAAGCTGTGATAATATACATTTAATTTCAGTTAATCTCTCTTCATTTCTTACAGACGTGCTAGTATAGTATATGAAATAAAATGTTTTGAAAATTTGCAGTAAAGAATAATCATTGTGTTGAGGTTGCATCTTTCTTGTATTTTCCAAGAAACTAGTTAAGAGTTGATCCATTTGTTCCTATATATAAACAAATTACAAATTATACTGATATATCACAAAGTATTTTTTATAAATGGGACGTATATAATCTACAATACATACATCGCAATTTGTAATTTCATCAATATTGATTTGATTTGAATAATATAAGTGCAAAGACATTGCATCTTTAAATAGGAACAACAATTTTTCATCCAAAGATATTGCTTGATCCTTATAAATTGTATATAACTTCCAATTAGATTGCGATACAAGTTTCTGTTTTGATTCAAAACAATCTTGAATAGGAAAATTTGGATATACATTGACACAAATGTAAACCATTAGTGCAGATTGTAAATCACCTGAAATATACATTAGTTTGCAATAATTTTTGTCATAATTTGAATCATCAATATAATTGCGATACATACTGTCTTGACAAGTATTTAATATCGATATACTTAAACTTTTGACAATTTTTACAGCGTTGGTATCTACAGAAGAATGTTGTAATATCGATAAGCATATCTTACGTATATTCTTAAATTTTTTAGACGTCATATTTAAATCGTTATCATCACTATAAAGACATAGGAGAAATAAATAATTTATATATATTTGTAGATATAAAATTATAAGAATAAAATATGTAAAATATTTACTCAACAAGATGTTCTAATCCGTTTAAATCCGTTAAGTTTTTCATCCGTTCTAACATGGATAAAGTGGCATATGATTTTTCTAATTCTAACAATTCGGCAATTTTAATAACCATTTTGTACATTACTGACCAATCGTTCTCCTTAATATCTATTAAATTATCATAAATAAATTATAAATTCTTAACAAGTGTGTATATTGTATTTAGTTATAAAAATTAAATTAGAAATTTTACTTAAAAGTGATTTTGAAATATAGTTTTGCAACACAAATGACTTCCGCATATGATAATCTTTCAAAGAAATATCAATCTCGTAATATTTCTTCAGTGCATACAATGATTTTAAATCTTTTATCATTTTGATAATGTTGTTGCAACGATAAAGACAAACATTTGATTGTGTTAACAAGTTATATATTTTGAACTCTAAGCAACCCAATATTTCCATGTGACACATCAAGGATATTACTGCATTCTAAAAGCAAATATTGAAGATAATTGATTATAATTTAGAAAAAACAATTTTTATTAAATTAACACTGTATCGAAGGTCATTACTTGAAAAGAGAAAGCTGCAATAATATAATTAATAATTCCTTCACAACAATATAAAACGCTGGCAGTATCATTTTCCAAATAGTGTAATATATCCATTGCTTGCTGGAGATTTCTAAAACAAATGTGTTTGCAGATTAGATAAATGTTTTAATATACTTTACACACACACGTGCGCGCGCTCATACACACACGCACATACACATTCATACGTTTTACCCATTTTAAAACTTCAAAATACATTTTTTTCACGACATACTTTTCATTTAATCGAACATTTATGCACCGACAAAACGCATCTTGTCTTAATTGTTGATCGTCTTTAGTTAGCACATCTATATCGTTAATCATAGAATCACGATTTTCTTTTATTATGCGTGATATCAATCTCTAAAATATAAATAATTAATTAAATGTAACAACATATAAAGATATTACAGAATAAGATACCACAACTTATACCAACATTATTTACACCAATCATCGCATATCCATATTTTTTTAAGATAAGTTTTGTTGGAACGTAATCGTATTCAGCTTTAATTTTAAAAGATAAATTATGATCGTAATTAATGCTTGTTTCTGCTAACGTAGCTATAATTGAACTCCAGGGCACTGGAGCTTTTCTTAAAACTACTAAAGTTTGTTCCAGTCGTTTCTGTTATGTAACATGTAACATAAAACGTTGCATTAAATGAATAAAAAGATATTTTACAAGTTACAATGTCGCAAATAGTATGTATCTCTAATATTCACCTCTATATTATGTATAAGGCTTATTATAATAGTAACTCTTTTTTCCCATGCAGCTTCTTCATTAAACCACCAACTATACGAATTTTTTATAGTTTTCTGAAAGTACAAAATGTTACAATATACGCATTTATAGAATAATTATTAATTAAAAATTTAATATTATAAGTAATGTATTATGTTTTCAAGTAAAATTAAAGAATGTATTATATCTTTAAGTAAAATTAAAGAATAAGAATATTATATGTACAAAACAAATACAATACGTACCTGAATATACGTACAAAAAACAGTATCATTTTGTAAATTGTTATTAAATATATATTGCTTTAGGAATGTATTTACAAAATTCGATATTTGGTCAAGATGTATCTTGTCCAACAACATATAAATCGCTTCTACAGGTGAATCAATATATATGTCAAGAGGTACTCTCAATCTATTGGGTAATTTAAAAAATAACATTAATTTATAAGCCAATTAAAAATTACAATATTACTGACCTGTGAACCATCTTCAATTGTTGAATGTCGGTTAAAGCTTGAAATAGGACCATAAACTGTTTCAATAAAGAGTTCTGATATCCGTATTCTTGATGAAAGTATACTAACTGATTATCTTCGAATTTGAACAATTTTATGAACTTTCTAGCAAATTCTATGCCGATTTCTGGCCATTCCATATGGTGAGATATCTCAAGATATTTTAGTTTTTTTAAACTCCAAGACATAATCTCATTTATTGCATCAGGCAGTAAGGATAATAATGTTGGTATAAAATGAATAAGCCAAGGCCACAAGCACGATGGATCCACATCGTCAGGTAAAATTGTAAAAATACTTTGTACAGTTTGTATAGATATATGTTTTGCAAAATCAGGAAGGTGTCTCGTCCAAATTAACGTAGCAGATTTAAGTTGACCCTGTACAAATATTAAACAATATAAAGTATAATATAGCAATTTTTGTAACTTTTTACACCGTAATATAAGTATAATTATAATCACATAATACCATATTTAAACAAGTAGTACATTCTTCCAATAAATTTGCTTGTGAAAATCGTATCCATTCTTTCATACTTGCGTCATTGTTCAGTAGCGTATCTGTCTCGGTATCTTGAATCATATGGAAAGTCTCAAGTCTATATAAAGCGTCGTTTATTATAGATAGACTGGTATTCAACGAATCATCTATATTTTTTATCTACAAAGAATATGAAACATCTACAATGAAACTGAATGTAGAAACACTGAATATTATAGCGATTAACGATACAAACAATAAATACCTTAATATTTTGCATTATTTTTTGTCGAGCATATAAATATATACGTCTCATTTGTATATAATCAGAAATGAGGGCTTTACTGCAACATTCAATCACATATTGCACGTTTTGTATTTTATTTAGAATATTTATTAATGTATCTACGTTGACCGAATTAGCAGTAGATTTTGCCCAAGGACTAAGCTGTTCTATGAGTAATGCTGCTTTAGAACAATAAATAAGTTCCATTGAAAGATTTGATTTTCTTGCAAAAGCTTCAGCTGCATCAAATTGTCTCTTCTTTAATAATTTCGCTAAACGTATTTCGGGAATACTTTCCAATATCGTTTTTACTCTAAACGTGTCGGTAATACCAGCCTCAATGTTAGTAATAATACCTTCTATGTAAAATAGATTATCGGAAGCATGTAAAATCTTAAATAAATGAGTATTGGCAGATACGTTGATTTCTAACTTCTGTTCAAAATCTAAAAGAATAAAAAGTATCTCATTAATTTATGTAAAAACTAAATTATTTACAAATAAAAATAATATATTTACCTGGATAAGAAATAATACGTAATGTATATGTAGCATAATTGTCCTTAAAATGTGTTAAAAGTAAAATTTCAGAATAATCATCATGCTGTATTACATCAAAATCAAACACTGGGCCATCACATATTTTTAATGTAAGAAATGTATTCAGACATACCATACTTAATATACTGTCTGTACGTAGACATAGCATTTTACTAAAAGATAAAGTATTTTTATGTATCATGTAACTTAAGATATGTATAAATTCAAAAGTACAACAAACTAATATATATTAGCATAATTAAAAAAAATTTTTTTAAATTTAATTACCTGCTGCCATGTAGCGGTTTTATCTTTTTATATCCAAAAGAAAATACACTTTGGAAATTGATGTATTGTTCATTAGGCCAAGTAAATATTGAATTTGTTCCAACTATAGCTATCGATAGTTCGTCTGATGATACATCTATTGTAGTGCTAAGAAACTGTAACATATTTTTTATAAAATGACATGGAAAATGAAAACCATGATATTTATATAATTTTGTTTGAATTGAATATTTATAAAGATATTAATAAATTCTTTAATATATATTACCTCCTGAGAAGGAAATCCTTTGAACAATTGACA